GCCCGCTTCTCTCTGCTTGTGTGACTGAGTGACAGCTGTTCACAGGTCCATTTTCTCACTAAGCAGTGACAGTTTTGAAACTACTCCTGATACTGACAATTTAAACCTTGTTCTTGTGTATAAATATATTCTGTTTTTAATATATTCTATTGCCAGAGGTTGAACCAAGAAAGGGCCTTTTACCTACAAAACATATGCTCTACCAGACCTATATCCCCATCTTCATTTTTTAAAATAATCTTGGACTAATGGCCAGAAACCCAATTTATTTTGATAAGCTGATCTTCTGTAGTTTTCTCAAAAATCTGTAGTTTTTTCAAAAATCCTCCAGAAGGACCCTTGATTTGTATTGTGCAAATCAGGCTCTCCATCTTAAATGACATGTTTGTTTGGAGTGACTCAGGAAGAGAAGAACGAAGAGACTCAAGACCGTGACCACTTTCACAACTCAGTGAACAAGTCTGACAGGAAAATGATTCACTCACAGCACTGAAGAGAAGCTGAGCAACTCTGTCAATTGGGGAGGAAATGCCAACTTTAGCATACATCTTTGCTAAAAAATATTTGCTTCTCCTGCATGCAAGCTGTTTGCATCATTTCTGGATCGGGCAGTATTACTTTGTTTTCCAAATTGATCAGATGTGATTTTGCCTGAATAACTTCTTTGAAGACCCTAAGCTTATAATGACTCACATCTGTCAGCTTTGTATCTTGGACATGCTCATGATTAATGTCATACGCTCCAAGATCTTCCCTTTGTGTAGTTTTTTCTATTCTTTTCCTTTAGGGGGAGTTGGGCCACACCCATCAGTATTCAGTGCTTACTCTTGCTCTGTACTCAAGAACCACTTCTAGCAGTGATCAGGGGACCACCTGTGGTCAAAGGCATTTGAGCCCTTGTCAGCTGCATATGAAGCAAGCTGCTTGCCTGCTGTACTATCTTCCTTTTTATTATTATTATTATTTGATCTAACTAATGTAACTGCAAAACGGACTCAGCAGAATGCTTAGTAGATTTCATATGTAGCTGATGGAAGTTCGGAGCAGTTTGATTCAAGTTATGCATCTTGGCATACTGATTACTTTGAATTGGTTATCATTAATTCATCAATATTTAAAGTTAATGTGTTGGGCCTAGAGCAGGAAAGGTGCTTGCCTTGTACCAGGAAGTCCTGGGTTTAAGCCCCAGCACAACATACCGTCCCCCAAGCCCTGCCAGGAGTGATCCTGAGCCTAAAACCAGAAGTAATCCCTGAGCATCATCATAATTTTAATATTAAATATATAGCTGTTCTTCATTTTTTTCCCCTTACAATTACTTCGAAATAGCTAGCACAAAAAACGACTGTCAGGCCAGAGAAAGAGCTCAAAGGGATTGAGTTCATGCTTCATAAGCAAGAGACCCAGGTTTGATTCCTGACACCATGATACTTTGAGTATCTGTAGGAGTGATGCTCCAAGGACAGAGCCAGGAGTATGTGTGGTCCTGTAAGAAAGAAAGATCCTTAGATGAGCACAGAGAATGGAGAAAGGCAGGCTAGAACATTATGGAGCGGCCCCAGGTGTCAGGTGGCAAAGGAAGAGTGGGCAACAGGAAGACAGGCATGAGCTCTGAATGTCCATTTCTATTTCCATTTCGAGGATTCTGATGTTTTCCACCCAGAAAATCAGAAAGAGTGTGACAGCATTCAAAGAGGAGGAGGTGGCAATTGTCACAGTAGTGGCTGTTTTTGCCAGTGTCAACAGATAGACCGCAGCTCCTGAGGAACACCATGGTCCTAACTAACGCCTGGGTAGGGGCCCCCACGCTGAGTGCAGACCTTAGAGAAGAGTTTGAATGGAACAGGGAAAAGGGGAGCCAGAGAGTCCTTTGCCCCCGACCCCCCACTCTGAGATGGAGACGGAGGAGGTCCTGACACCACACTCTCTGGCAGAAATCAGAGCAGCCCGGGGAACCAAGTGACCTGAAATAATGTCAGAAACTTCTCTTGACTGATTACTGTTGAGATCTTAGAGCAAATGACACAACTTCCCTAAAAAAATGTTTTCGTCAGTGCCTTAATGGGCTCGGTTCCCTTGGCAACAGAGGTTCTTCCGTGGGAAAAGTATCTTGCCAGTCCAAACACCTAGGATCTTGAGCTCAATATGCAAATACCGAGGTTGACTGAAGGCCTGAGGGGTCCCTCCCCCACCCCCTCATGCCTGCCAGCCGGAGCCACGTTTGAGTTCAGCTCGACTTTAGCTCCAGGAATGATTTCTGAGCTCAGAGACCAGACAAAATCTTAGTCTAGGCTGGATGTGGCCCAAATCTCCCCATCCACTGCCCCCACTCACAAGAAATTCTGACTTTATCAGTATAAGGAGAATGTAACAGGAAAAGGTGAGAGTGAAACAGAAAGGAGAAATAGGTCATGTCCACAGAAATACTCCAGCTCAGGGCAAGTTCAATGTCTCCTCACGACCTCTCAGCGGGTTCTGCACCCAGGTGCCTACCCAAGGCACCTTTCAATATTCCTGACCTGTGAGTTTTTATTATCACTTATGGTGCCTTTCATGGGGTTTCCTGTAGACACCCAGGATATTCCAAGGTGGAGTCATAGTGAAAACTCATATGGGGGTGGGGGTGGGGGGATGGCAGGAGACTAGGAGGTCTGCCAGAAATCTGGGCGGTGGAGGGGGGAGGGGCACAGAAAGGAAACAAGGTGGGTAGGGGATGAATGTGTGAAAGGGTTGTCTTTGCAAAGGTGGTATAAATATCCCAGACTTTTCCAAAGTCAAATCTTGCCCTTTTGTGGTTTCTGGGTTTGGTGTCTTCCTCTCTGTAGGTCATAAAGTTAATTCATCAATGTATGGCTTTAATTTTTCTTGTCAGACTTAGAAAGACAGTCTCTTTTTGTTTTATTAAGGTAAGCCCAGAGATGGATTTCAATAGTGAGTGTGTAGCAGAGCTTCTCTGAGTGGCAAAGCCCCCCCCCCCCCCCCCCCCCGTCTCTGCGCCTGCTCCCCAGAACTAACCCCTCGAAGGTCCTCTCTGGCTCTGCTTTCTGAAAGTACTGGTTTACGGGCTTTGATTGCTTTTTGCAATCTGCCCCAGACATCACCTTACACACTTTCCAGGATCAAGAAATTTACTCCAGTTTCTTCCAGAAATCTTTGATGTGCAGCCTTTAGGTCCAAATTTATTGTAATTTATAGCTAGACAAAAAATACTTTTTCACCATTATTTTAGTGGAATCTCAGGAGGAAGAGGGACAAACACTTCTGGTAAATATGCAGTTTGGAAAGAGAAGTCTCTGTACTTTACAATCCAAAGGAGGGGAAGAGGCAAGTGACTGAATCCCTTTCATTTCAGGTTTCCAATTTTTTTTTTTCCTGCTGAAGACAAACACTGTGTAATATGTAAACCTCCAAGGCAGGTAAAGAACTTAACAGAGAAGCAGTACAAGGACTAAAACACTTACCTTGAATGCAGCTAGCTGACCCTAGTTTAATCCCTGGCACCCACATACAGTTCCCTGAGCACGGCCAGGAGTGAGCCCTGAGCACTGCCCGTTGTCTCTCTCCTACCACCAAAACAGACTTTTTAAAAAAACCTGAGACTCAACTGAAAATTTTACTGGGAATTCTTCTCTCTTTTTTTCCCTAAACATTTTTTTAACTGAATCACCGTGAGCTACACAATTACAAGGTAGTTCATTATTGGGTTTCAGTCATATAATTCCAACGCTCGTCCCTTCACCAATGGACATTTCCCACACCAATGGCCCCAGCTTCCTTCCCACCACCATCCAGAAGGCATTTTTTCTTTTCTTTTCTCTCTCTCTCTCTCTCTCTCTCTCTCTCTCTCTCTCTCTCTCTCTCCTTTTAGGCACTATGGTTTGCAATGTAGATACTGAAAGTTTAACTAGGAATTCTTAAAATCTTTAATTTTACATTACTTTAACTCCAAAGAACATAATTTCCGACACATTAAAATATCTGTAATACTTTAAAAATAAGGCCACTGGGGCTGGAGTGATAACACAGCAGGTAGGGTGTTTGCCTTACATGCATCCAACCCGGGTTCGATTCCCAGCATCCCCTATGGTTCCCCAAGCAGTGCCAGGAGTGATTCCTGAGTGCAGAGCCAGAAGTAAGCCCTGAGCATCGCCGGGTGTGACCCAAAAAGCAAAAAAACTTTAAAAATTTAAAAAATAAAGCCATTAAAAAAATCCATTATGTCACTCCTCTGTTTTCAGATTTTGTCTTGTCTGATCAGAGCACACCCTGCCATGCTGAGGCTGGATTCCAGGGCTTCCCGCATGCTTCAGCACTTGGGCCACGTTCCTGACCCCACACCCCTCTTAGGGTGTAGAATGTGGAGTAGAATGTGGACCAGAAGTTGTGAAAGCTATTTTTTATAAGAGTTAGAGATGTGTTCAAGGAAATTTAAACTTAATAATAATAATAATTAATAACAATAAACAGCTCTTTTCCTTTGAGTTATTTTTCTTGTATTGTTTGGTTTGGTTCAGTTCGGTTTGGGGTCACACTGCAAGGAGCTTACTCCTGGTCCAAGGGTCACTGCTGGCAGGGCTTGGAGGGCCATATGGGCTGGCAGGATCACCCCTGGGTCAGCTGTGTGCAAGGCAAAGGCCCTATCTGCTCTACTATCACTCCAGCCCTTCCTTTTCTTTTTTTCTTTTTTTCTATTTTTCTTTTTTGCTTTGTAGGTCATACCCAGCGTTGCTCCTGGCTCTGTACTCTGAATTGCTCCTGGCAGTGCTTGGGTGACCAAATGGGATGCTGGGGATTGAATCCAGGTCCTCCGCATGCAAGGGAAATGCCCTACTGCTTTACTATCACCCAGACCCCTCCAGCCCTTTCTTTGACTTGAAATATTCTGTTGATCTATCAATGAAGGTGTGTGGCAGTTGTCACAAAATTCATCTTTCTAATTATTTAATCCATGCAGCTGAGACCCAGATCAAAACCTGGATAAAACTTGGACCAAAGCAGAGATGAGTGAAAATGTTCTTTTTCTCCAAATAGAGAAGGTAAAAATGTGGGTTCCTGTCATAGAAAGTCTTGAATGGCCTACTCTACAGAACACGCAAACATTCAAATCTGAGATAGACAGAGAAGTCTGAGGTGGCTGGGTCAGTGTGGGGTGAATAGAGCAGCCTGGGATGGATAGAGCCATCTGGGTTGATAGAGCCATCTGGCTGGATAGAGCAGTCTGGGTGGATAGAGCACTCTGGGTGGATAGAGCATCTGGGATGGATAGAGCAGTCTGGGTGGATAGAGCAGTCTGGGATGGATAGAGCAGTCTGGGTGGATAGAGCAGTCTGGGATGGATAGAGCAGTCTGGGTGGATAGAGCAGTCTGGGTGGATGGAGCAGTCTGGGTTAGATAGAGCAGTCTGGGTGGATAGAGCAGTCTGGGTGGATAGAGCAGTCTGGGATGGATAGAGCAGTCTGGGTTAGATAGAGCAGTCTGGGTGGATAGAGCAGTCTGGGATGGATAGAGCAGTCTGGATGGATAGAGCAGTCTGGGTTAGATAGAGCAGTCTGGGTGGATAGAGCAGTCTGGGTGGATAGAGCAGTCTGGGATGGATAGAGCAGTCTGGGTGGATAGAGCAGTCTGGGTGGATAGAGCAGTCTGGGTGGATAGAGCAGTCTGGGTGGATAGAGCAGTCTGGGTTAGATAGAGCTGTCAGGCCTAAGACCTGCCACAGGCATATTGCTGGGTGAACAAGATGCCGTAGCCTTCTGCATCCCTCCCCTGTCATCGCTTTCTCCTTCTTGGATTTCTGGGCTATACTAAGTGGAATTGGGGGCACCATCCGTCCCAGAAATCACCCCCAGGGTTCCCAGTCCTTTGGGCCCCTATCCCATGCGCCTCTTTGCTCCTTCTAGCTGAGAGATGGTGACTTTCACTCTAACAAACAGGAAGCAACAGTCATTCAAAAATTTGGCTTTTACTCCACCAAACCACTCTCTGGCTGCTTTCAATGTCACAAATCTTTCCTTCACAGAAATACTAACAGAAAGGGGAGGGCATGAGTTCCCTTCATGAGCCTTTTTTTTAAACAACAATGTTGATTAAACATATTTCAAATTGCCCCTTTATTGATTAACCTGATGTTTTGTTTTTAATTTTCCAGCACATTGTACAATAGAAAGAGGTAAATCTTTTTTCTAAAACTTACAAAATCTTATTCGTCCTCTCTAATTTGAAGGATTTACCTCTTAGCTGAAAAAAGATTTTAAAGAAAAGGAAAATCTGAAAAGTGATTCTCTTAACAATCTCAGCATCCACCTACCTTTGGAAAATCTGCAGATGCCGTTAGTGTACGAGAATCTCAAATTGAAAAGCACTGTCTTTGCCCAAGTAATGCACCTTTGGGTATGGAAGTGCAAGCACTGTGGGTGTTGTTAGGAGAGTTTAGAAATGGACCCATCAGGGGACTGAAGCAATAGTCCAGTGAGAAGGGAGCTTGCCTTGCACATGTCTGAGCCAGTGTCCATCCCTGGCATTCCACATGGTTCCAGTTGCTGAATCTCTGAATATGGCACAAAACAAGAAAACAAAAAGTAAAGAAGGAAGAAAAGAAAAAAGAAAGAGAAGAACGAAACAAAGAAGGAAGGAAGGAAGGAAGGAAGGAAGGAAGGGAGAAAGAAAGAAAAAAAGAAAGAAAGAAAGAAAGAAAGAAAGAAAGAAAGAAAGAAAGAAAAAGAAAGAAAGAAAGAGAGAGAGAGACAGGAAAAGAGAGAAAAAGAGAAAGTCATAAGACTACACTGTATAATCAGCCATTATAAAATTTATCCTCAGGGGCTGAAGAAATAATACAGAGGTTAAGGCACTTGCCTGCGTGCTGCCACTCCCAGTTGGATTCTGATACCACATGTGTCTTGAATATCACCCCAACTTGGGAGGTCTGCCCTCCGACTAAGTGAAATAAATTAGGGTTTATCAGTTCTCTGCAGTGCAGCCAGAAGGTTGTATTTTTTAAAAGACAGTTAGTTTTGAAATTGAGGTATTATAAGCAGTCACATAGTAAAAAGCTTCCTCTTTTTCCTTCTCTTCACAATGATTTTCTTCCCCACCACATGTGCCCAGAAACCTCAACTCTCATCCTTCTCAATCAGCTTTTGCTTTAAAGAGATCTCCATCCTTCTTTGAGACAGAAACAATAGAATGAGTGAGAGGTTAAACCATGATTTCTGCCATGAAAGTGTGTTCTCTAATGGAGTTTAGACGATTATTTCAGATATTTCTATGCCACCTTTACAGCACTGCTTATATTTGTATGCCAGATATCCTACTCCCCCCAAATTCACTCCTATTTCTACAAATTTATTTTAGAAGGAAATTATTGCGTCTCTACAATATAAAATATTTTTTTTGTTTTATTTCTTTGGCTTTGCAAGTAAGGTCAAGGAAGCCAGGAGACCCCTTCAGTGACTTTGCCATTATGTGGTACTGGGGAATGAACCAAAGTTCGCCACATGCAAGGCTAGTGCCTTAAAACCTCCCTGCAGTATGTTTCTGGCCCTCCATCACGTGGGATCTCAGCTTAGGTCCTCTAGAAAGAAGGCTAGAGGTTGCGGCCTAAGTGAAGTAACTCGATGGGAATTGAACCTACTGGTACAGAATAAGGGGAAAGAAATAGAGAAAGAATAAAAGCCGGCATAAGGGTGCCACCAATGGTTACCAAGTCGACCACTGATGCAGGCAACTTGATCCCGTTGGAACCTTTCAGAAAGCAATGAAATGGAACAGAACTTTCCCGCTGGGAAAGGAGAAAGCAACTATACACTGGCTTAGGCTCTTTGGTTAAGATAGCTGCATGAGCGTTAACCACTCCTGATCGTAGGCCCATGCTTGATATACAACTTTTCACAGCATCGCATGCCAAGGCAACCCAGAATCGCAAGGAGCAGTAGCAAGTTATGAAAGGTGCAGACCCAGGAAAGAGCCATCGGATTCTATCCATGAAAAACAGGACCATGTCTCATCTGGGGCACCCCGGAAGGGGGCAGGTGGGTCCTACCACCTGCCCAAACAGAGCTCTAATAGCCAAAAACCTCCAGAACACAATGCCCACCACGCTCATGGCCAATCTCCACAGGCTCAGAATGAGCCTCATCCAGGAATGAATCTGTTGAAAAACTCAGGTATGTGGGTTTTGTGACGGAAATCTCTAGCTCTCGTGGAGTTGTGAATGGGTAATCTCCCCCCATCTCCCTGTTCTTCCGGGGGCCTGGCGGTCATATCCATGAACTGCCTTTGGCACTGTATAAGCTCATTAGTGGCCATTATCTAGAGATTCACAAAGAAATCTTAGAAGATATCAACAAGCTGCAGAGATGCCTCCAGACCCCAAAGTCACCATCCAGTTAACTCAGTTCTATCACCTTATTTAAAAATTTTAGAATTCCTGGAGTACGTGTAAAGTAGAAGGCAACTGATCTTTATATATACAATACATATACATATATTATATAAATATATAGATGTCAGTTTGACAATAGATATAGACACACACACACACACACACACACACACACACACACACAAGCCTCAACCTGTAACACAAGTTAGTAATCTCTTATACAAGGGCTTAATGGCTCCAGAATAAGATACAACAATCTTCACATACTTTCCTCTAAGGAAACTTTTTTGGATCATTTTTAGTAGGTTATTTATAACAAGCAATACAAAAAATTATTTAGGGCCCACTGGGCAGGTTTGGGTGGTGGTGGTGGTGGTGGGAGAATTCAAAATAACGGTGCAGGGAAGGTGTAATGGTGGTGGGATTGGTGTTGGAATATTGAATTATTGTGAACAAATTTGGTTAGAGTGATAGTATAGTGGGTAGGGCGTTTGCCTTGCATGAGGGCGGGTCAGCCTATCCGAGTTCGATTCCTCCACCCCTCTCAGAGAGCCCAGCAAGCTACTAAGAGTATCTCACCCGCAGGGCAAAGCCTGGCAAGCTACCCAGGATGTATTGATATGCCAAACACAGTAACAACAAGTCTCACAATGTTACTGGGCCCCTGCTCGAGCAAATTGATGAACAATGGGAGGACAGTGACAGTGAAAATAAAATTTTAAAAATAATTTAAAAAAAAAAAACAGGACCATCAGAGTCAATTGCTCATCTGTCGAATAAAATTCTACAGAGGGGCCAGAGTGATAAGGCACTGGCTAGAAACGGGTGAGAGAATCGATTCTTCCTCATTAAACCCCTTAGTTTTGTCACTGTGCTCACCTGAATTGCGGTCACCGGTGAATGCAGTGGGTACACTTTGATGAGCAGGGTACACTGTTCAAAATAGCAGCCAGGGGCCCACATTGTGAGGACAGTGTGAACAGGGCTAGAGCGTTCAGTTAAGGGTGGTGCTGTTGAGTTGAACACATAAAGAGTGGAGGACACAGGCCCACATGAAGGGTAGGGAGGGTTTTAGTAAATCAGGTGGAAAACAGAAACTCAAGAATGAATCTCTCAGTCCTTGAAGCCACAGATGATCACCCACATACAGTCGACAGTCCCAACTGACCCATACTTCATTTCCTCTCCCCCGGACTAATAAAACCCCCTGTTCTCCTCTGAGAGATCACCTACCAGCCGACCCAGGCACTTGGTTGGTGGGTGGTGGTGAGGGAGGAGGCTGTGTGGTTTGCTGGCCACACCCTCTGAGGAGATGAACAAATAATCTGACCTTCTGAGAAAGCTTCCTCAAATCATACACAACTCTAAGCATTGCGTTTTGTCCTGTCTAGACTTACTGCTGAATCAGATTCTCTATCAAGTAAAGGAAATTGGAGCGGTCTGTGCCTTCTGGGATCTATAGCCTAAAGAAGCAAGCGTCTTGCCGTTATTTTGGAGAGCACAGAAGAAGAACATCTCAGAAGTGGAAACTCATCCTTTGATTTTTAACACAAGAAAAATAGAGGAAATTTTCATCAACGAGTAAGTATATTTACAATTTATACGGAACAGCTTGCTAGAACCAGTTACCAGGAACCTAGCCCCATTTCAAATTAACTTCCCATTATTCCTACCTCCGATATGCATCCTTCCCCTCAAGGAATCTTCTTGGGTCTCTTATTCCCACGGGAGCTGACAGTTTCCCATCACACTTGGAGAATCACTACCAAGGTTATGCCTCATTATTTTAAGTTTCTTAGATGATAGCACATATTCATTTCATAGGCTAAATTTGAATTTTTCAAATCAGTAAAATCTTCATTAACCAGGTAAGCCAAGCTAATTCTGGTGAAAATAGAGTTTGACTTAAAAAATAACCTGATGAAAAATCCAGTGGAGCAAACTGGAAAACCAGCTCTCGGTGGTTCCCCAGAAGGGCTGCAAATGTCTTTGAAGTAGCAACGGACTATGGCCCTGATGTCCACATTGATGCATCGCATTTATTTTTGCTTCTCAGTGTTGATCTTTTTGAGAAAGACCACTTACTTACATTGAAGTACATAATATAAATAAGTAATACTTGCAATCGTTCATTTCACTCATCTATTCATGGAGATGCTATAAGTTTTCATAATGAATTACAGTCCCGGACAACATATGCCCTCGTTGGCATTCTCTGTTTCTCATTACATACATGGAAAAGATCTCAACTCTCAAGGAAGAGTTGGCCAGCTGATACTGAGAAGTCTGCCTTGTTCTCTGTGTTTTTACTGAAATCCTAATCACCCCAGAGGGCCATTCCACAGGTGGCCGTAAGGGTCTCCCAAAAGGCACCAGGAAGTGCCCTCTCCCCAGAGTTCTGCACCTTTTGTCGTTCCCCCCCATCCCTTGACTTAAAGATCACGGAGATTAAGATTCCCCCACTCATTTTCAGACAGGCCACTCGCTGGGAACTTTCATAACCCCTACTAGTCCAACCTAACTCCCTAGATTCTTCCTCTCGTTTTTCAGGCTTCCTGAAAATAAATCCAGACCCTTCTACTCAGGAGAGAGGAGGTCCAGTTCCACCAAGCCAGCCTCTTCTCAGGAGCACTTTGCCAACATCTCAGAAGCTCCCTCTGCGTGTGGCAAGATTGCTCTCTGCCTGGGAAGTGCCCAGGTCTCGCTGAACTCACAACTGTTTCAGTATCCACCTGGAGGTTCTAGAACCATGAAGTGGGGTCCGCCGCCCTCCGAGATCTCACACCTCAAGCTCTTTCCATTCCTGGTGCTGGTTTATTTTGCCTGCTGCTCTTTGGGTAAGCAGTGTTCAGAACTTCATGGGACCTCAGGGTTTCGAGGAAGGAAGTAGTTGCTGCCCCCTGCTGTTGGCCTGTGAGCTGGAGGGGATCTTTTGCGTATTTGAGTCCATTTTAAGGATGAGTATACTGAGGTCAGGAGAGGCTAAAGAACCCCACCCATGAACGTATAACGAATCAGCAGCCCAAGTTAGGTCACAGGCCACAAAGGAAGGGCGGGGTGGCATTATTTTAACAAAAGCATAACGCTAATTCTGAAGGACAGCTTAGAGTGTTCTCTCTTCCAGAACACAGCATGCTCATTTGCGTTTTGTTGTATGCCAAGGTCTCTGGTCAAGTTCGCTGGTTCTGGTTTCTAGATGGTGTTTTTATGAAATGACATGGCCAAAGTGTTTTGTTTCTAAAATTGAGCACCGATGATCTTTCCAGTTTGAAGGGGACTGAGAGTAGTGGCTGTGTATCATCTTACCCCCCACCTCCCACCCCTTCACTTCCCTGCATTGTCGTTGTCTTCACGGATGTTACACTGGGCAGTGGGTTGCATGCCACCATGACAGAACTGGGAATTGCACTCAGCCACACAGGGCTGTGCCCGGGACCAGAGTTTCTTCTTCATGAGTGCATGGCAGGTGTTATTCCACTGAACCACATCTCTGTGTCCACATTATATAATGTTAACTTTTCCCTCATCTTTATTTTGTTGCTTTAAATGTTAATGCCCCTTTTTAACACAAGCATTTTGGGATATCAATTTTCAGTTAGCTTTAATTTACTATGTAGGAATTATTTCAAAGAATGTTTGACTTCTAGAAGCGACTGTTCCAACTCAGGTGCAGACCTGGGTGGGTTAAGGGGACCATCAGGAAGGGTGTTGACAGAATGGATCTGACTTTTTGAAAAAATCAAAACAAATGGCCTAGAGAGAGATAGTACAGGGGTTAAGCGATCCCTGAGCACAGAGACAGGAGTGAGCCCTGAGTCATACAGGAGTGGTCCAAAACTACCACAACCAAAACAACAGTCAAAATAAAAGATATGCTTCCTATTGAATAGCATACCCCTGGCTTCTTTAAAATAAAGAGAAGACTTTGGATCCAGCACTGTTTGCTAAATTATAGAAGGTTCTTGTCTTCATACCCCTCCAGGCATATCCCAGAATGTGGGGGCTGGTGGATGGGGCACACAGAAGGTTTGACCCACCCTCCCGCCCCAAAGTCCTTGGAAGTGTTCTTGCCTGAGTTGTAAAAATTGCTGTTTCATACTGTTGCTGAGCCAATAGAATCAGGACAGAAGATTCACAATTTGCACATCAGATTTTGACATATTTTTGACTGTTATGTTACATCTCCAAAGTTTATTTTGGAGTAGAATTACTTCAAAAAACTATTGTCTTCCGGAGGAGTCTAAATGAGTTTAAAATGCTTAGAAGATGAAAATTCCTCAGCAAAGTACTCAACTGAATGTACTCTGTGCAGGTATGATTTTTGCCAGTGGGGAGAGGAGGGTTGAGAGGTGAGGGAGTGTGGAAGGTGCAGCTTGGAAGAGAAACAGGAGCGAAGAAGGGAAGGTGGCCAGAATGGGACTGCGGGAGGCAACTGGGTCCCCAGAGGCCCAGGGCCACAACCAGGCGTCTGAGTATTTGGGTGGCCAGAAGTCATGGTGGGGTTTTTAGGAAGACTTGGTCTCTGACAGTGGTGGTGGCACTTCTGTTATACACAGCGCTCACCTGGGGGCCTTTTTAAAATTTATTTATTTATTTATTTATTTATTGCTTTTTGGGTTACACCCTGCGATGCACAGGGGTTACTCCTGGCTCTGTGCTCAGTAATTACTCCTGGCGGTGCTCGGGAGACCATATGGGATGCCAGGGATCAAACCCGGGTCAGTTGTGTGCAAGGCAGGGAGGCATTTTAGAATGACAATTCCAGCACAGGGATTCTTGGGTGCTACTTTGGTAAATATCTACTGTCATACATTTGTCAAAACCCATAGAACTTACAGCGTCAAGAGTGATCCCTTATGCAAACAGTGGACTTGGTGATACTTCTGTGTTAATGTTGGTTTATGGGGTGGAGCGGGGGAGAGCAGGGGAGGCTGGGTGTGTGAAGTGGGTTGGTGGGGGGAATGAATATATGGTTATATGCTTACTCTGCTCTTTCCATAGATTTTGTTGTACACCTAAAACTTGCCTTTATAAAAGTAGAGTCTGGAGAAATAGCACAGGGGCAAGAGTGTGGTTCTGACCCTGGATACTGCATTGTCCCCCTGGGTGCCACCAAGTTCAGCCCTGGAGGTCTCCTCTGGCACTGCTGGGGCCTAAGCAGTCAACCAGCCCACTGGCCTGGTTGGTCAACTGCCACCACGAGTGGCCTCCTGGTCCCTGCTTGGGAGTCCTCACCCAACAATATATTAAATAGAATAAAGCCTACATCTATATTTTTATATGCAGTTTCTGCTTAGGTGAGTCTGGGAAGAGCCTGAGCAGTGATGCTTCTAGCAAGAATGACCCGAGTGAAGTCATTTTCAGGGCCTCCAATTTTCCGTTGGAGTCCTGAGCCCTAAACTGCATTTAAACGACTGTGGTGGTGTCGCTGAATGTCAGTAATGGCCTGTAGGCTAGCCAGAATGATTGTGCAAAACCTCCCCAGAGGCTATTTTAGTCCCCGACAGTCCCTGGTGGTAGCTTGAGTGACAAGAACAGCGTCAGAGGGAAATGACAAGATTGGAGTGTGTGGGCTGGAGAAGCCGGAAGAATTTTCTCCATGGGAGTATAAACAGGAGCTGAACATGGCCTGGGGAAGCAGGACTGGGTGGAGACTGCAGCAGATGATCAGGAGAGGCTAATTTGCTTTCTCCCCTCTCCCTTCCTGCCCTGTCAGGAAGCCACACTTCCACCTGTGCCACCAAAGCTGCCCAGGCCACCGGCCATGCCTCGCTGCTCTGCTTCTGGTTCGTCAGTGGCGGCAGAAGCACTAGGCTCCCAGAGCCCAGAATAGCAGGGCAGGCGGGGTAGTGGGCTGCTCTCAGAGGGCTACCTGGGGAGTTTTTCCTCAGAGTAGGTGTCCGTTCCTAGAAGCACAGCTCTAAAGGGAATGGTCATGCCGGGGATGGCAGAAAGGTGTGCCCTTGGGGCAGTGAGATAGTACAGTGGGTAGGGCATTTGCCTTGCAGGGTGCCAACCCGGGTGCACCCCTTACGGTCCCCTGAGCCCTGCCAATAGAGGTGACAGTGCCAGAAGTAAGCCCTGAGCACAGAGCCAGAAGTAAGCCCTGAGCACTGCTGGGTGTGACTCCAACACAACAACAAAAAGGTGTGGCCTCAAAGTGTGAGGAGCACTGAGCTGAGGGCAAAGAGAAGCCTTCAGAGCAACGAAGGCTCCCTGCTCTTTCTTTTCAATTTTTAAATTTTTAAAAAATTTTTAATGAATCACTATGAGATACAGCTATAGACTTACAAACTTTTGTGTTATGTTTCAGTCATATAATGATCGAGTACCCATCCCTCCACCAGTGACCATTCTCCATCACCAATGTTCCCAGTATCCCTCCCACCACCCCATTCCAAACCCCCTCCCCATGCCTCTGTGGAAGGTGGGTTCCCTTTTACTCTCTCTCTCTCTCTCTCTCTCTCTCTCTCTCTCTCTCTCTCTCTCTTAGGATGTTGTGGTCTGCAATGAAGGTATTAAGTAGCCATCACATTCAGTCTATAGTCTACTCTTGGCACACATCTCCCATCCCAAGCGGGTCCTCCAAGCATCCTTTGCTTGATGGTCCCTTCGCTACCTGAGCTGCCTTTTCCCCCGGGATGCAGGGAAACTGGGATGCCCAGGCAATGTGTGATGCTTTCTCTTCACCATAAGTTGACCCTGCAGCCCTGCCCACTCCTAACGACTGCTGAGGGTCAACTCTGTGGTCAGGCCACCGTGTTCACTTTGCATCTCTCTAAGCTGCAAGAACTCAGGGAGGCTCATGGTTCTTAGGTTGAGTTTGTTTGTTTTTTTGTAGACTGTACATTAGAGTTGATTTTCTTTCTTCTGCGTTACTAGGGTTCAAACCCAGGCACTCAGATCTGTGAGGCATGCGCTCTACTCCTGAGCTACACCACCAGATGAATTTTAACATTTTGATTATTGTATTCCCCACTTTTCCCTGCATAGTTTATTGTGGCAATGACTTAAAACTCAGCATCTCAAGATGTACTGTTCAATGTTTTTCTGTGTGTATTGGCACTGTAGTGATCCTACCGCCAGCATCTAATTTCAGAATCTTTATGTCACTTTAAGAAGAAATTCTGTGGTTCATGGGGCTGGAGCGATAGCACAGCGGGTAAGGCGTTTGCCTTGCACGCAGTCAACATAGCCGACCTGAGTTCGATTCCTCCACCCCTCTCAGAGAGCCTGGCAAGCTACTGAGAGCATCTTGCCCGCACGGCAGAGCCTGGCAAGCTACCCGTGACGTATTCGATATGCCAAACACAGTAACAACAAGTCTCAAGATGGAGATATTACTGGGCCTGCTCGAGCAAATCGATGAACAATGGGAGGACAGTGACAGTGACAGTGACCTGTGGTTCGTGGAGATGACTCAAAGAGCTGGAGCTCTTATGTGCATGTGGGAGCCCTGGATTCACTCTCTGGCACCTCAAGGTCCCCTGAGCAGACTTGAGCACTTCTAAGTGTGCCTCACCCCATAAAATTTTTTTTAAAAAAACTAAATCCTACATGCATTAGCAATTCACTGTGTTTCTTTCCCCACCATCTGATGATGACCACTAATCCACTCTGTTTCTGTGAATTTGTCTGTTCTATACATTTCTTGTAAATGAAATCATATAATAGGTGGGCTTACATGCTTGCTTCATTCACTTAGTATAATATTATCAGGATTCATCCATGTGGTAGTATTAGAACTCCATTCTTTTTGGGACCGAGTAATCGGTTGTAGACTGGGTTCTTTTTACATTTTGTTTGGGGCTAGACTAGCAGTGTTTGGGGGAGGGCT